GGCAGGTTACATCCACAGAACTTCTCCTCACATGTATGTGTTATCAATATATCAGAAGAAATTTTGCAAAGTAGAATGCCAGTGTCTCCTCTTGTATTATCATTTTCTGCCTTAGATCTCTTTGTATGTATATTGATTTGTTTACTTTTGATTTATATCATATTAAGGAAGAAGAAAGGTTTTTTTAGGTTCTTTTTTATTGTAATAAAATATACATAAAACAATATATATCATTTTAGCCATTCTTAAGCGTAATTCAGTGACATTAAATACACTCACAATGTTGTGTAACCATCACCACATCTATACCCACAATTTTTTCATCATCTCCAACAAAAACTCCATACCAATTAAACAATGTCCTTTCCTCTTTACTACTAGCCCCTAATAACCTCTATTCTACTTTACCTCTATGAATTTCCCTATTCTAGGTACCTCATATAAATGGAACTATACAATATTTGTTCTTCTGTGTCTGACTTATTTTAATAAGCATAATGTTTTCAAAGTCCATTCATGTTGTAGCATGTTTCAGAATTCCATTCCTTTTTAAGGCTGAATAATATTCCATTGTGTGTGTATACCACATTTTGTTCATCCATTCCTCTGCTGATGGACACTTGGGTGGTTTTCACTTTTTGGCTATTATGAATAATGCTAACGTAAACATTGGTGTACAAATATATGTTCAAGTCCCTGCTTTCAGTTCTTTTGGATATATATCTAGGAGTTGAATTACTGGGTCATATGGTAGGTCTTTGTTTAAAAACATAGTTCTTTTTTCTTTTTTTCCTAGTTCTAACTTTTGGAGCAACACCAAGCAAGGCCAGCTCCTCTCTCTCTGAATATGTTTTAAGCATTTGAGAATAACTAGTTTGTCCTCCCTAAGTCTTCTTATCTAAGCTAAAAATTCTAAGTGATACAACATTTTTTTTTTTTTAGGACCCAAATGTAAGATCAACCCCCACTATGTTTCACTTTATTACTTTCATCAATTAGCTCACTCTGTGGGGATATCCAAATATTTATTCTAGGATCTAGTGCATTTGACACTTCTCCCAAGTTTATGTCTTCCTGCCTTTGACATACACTGAGAAAGCATTTAAGAATTATAAAAGAAGAAATCACCTTTATTTTCCAATTCATGAATACTTAAAAAGAGGAGGGTAAAGATAAAATTATTTAATCCATCTGTAAAATTTCTCATGTGGACCAATTAGAAGTATTGAACTTTTATTTTTTTTATATTTTTAGAAAAAAGGTTTTTTGAAATTGTGTTAGTTGACCTGGATCTCATATCGTAGAATATCCATGCACATAGTAGAGGTTCCATAAAGACTTGTTATAAGAATGAAGAATTAAAACATTGGCCTTTCTCCTTCTGATGTTTTTATTGAGATCAGAACTCTCTTAGTTTTTAAAGGCACTCATGATTATTGTAAAGCTGTCCTTATATCCAAAGCTTTGACATCAGTTATTTCCATTACTAGAATTCTGCTAAATGTTGATCTAGGTTATGTTTTTGTCCAGTTTACTATAATAGTTAAAGAAGAAGAAGTGATATTCTACATATGAGCTACTATATGTTTATAAACTGCCTAGCTCTTACAGCTCAAATAAGAATAGTCATGTAAAATATTTCTAGCCCCTAAAACCCAAGTATGAAAATTCCTTTTCTTGAATATCCTACTGGGTTCTTCCTCCAAAGCAGTTGTCCGGTAATTTTGGCATTTGCATGGGGAGCTCAAGAATCTTACAGAAGGCCTGTGCACTGGATTGACCAAAAAGAGTTTAATTAAAGGGTGGAGCTCCTGGTTGAGTGTTTCTTGTACATGTGTTGAAGAGGAAAATTTTCTTTGTGAAATTAAACTTGAAAATTTCTTATTGATTTTTTTGTCACCTGGGGAAAATTTTAAACTTGCTGAAGATATTAGTCTGTATACTCCATTCATGCCATGGTTGCTGTCATTTCTGAAAGGATTACATTCCAATTACTTTTTTTTTTCCTACTCTTTAAACTTAATCTTACACGTTCAAAGTATTTTTTAAACTTTAATAGAATAACTGTTTTAAGAATAGGATGGGTCTTTGGTTTATAAGGTGTTGCAGCATGTAGATACCTTATGCAGCAAATTGACAAATCACTAATATCACTACAATTTGCAAGTGGCTTACATTTGCAGAACTGTGACCAGCTAAAAAAGAAGGAACAGTGCATATGGGAGAAATAGTTCAGTTGTTCAGATGAGTAAATGTTGATTTTTTTGTTTCATTATAAAGTACCTATGCTGGTTTGGGGTAAGATTAATCATCTTGTGTTAATTTTTAGTAAAAAGATTGTGAGGAAAGTGACTAATAAAGTGACCCTCCCAACTTGCTAATAGAATTCAACTTTAATTTCCCATTTTCAATACCCCCTAAGAACCAAGTCACTCCTGGAATTTGAATCAAATCTTGATCTCTCTTTCTCCACATGACAATCCAATGATTAATATACGTAACACACACACACAATTAAGACACACCTATTTTATTGGTGGTGATAAAAGACAGAATATTTGCTATTTTGCATTGTGTCTTTCTCCTCTCTCCCTCTCTTTCTCATCCCCACAATCCCACAATTACTACATTTTGAACTCTAAAGTAAGCTAAAGAAATAAGAAACAACATAAATATAATGTGAAATGGTAATTATTTTACTCATTGTAAATAGCTGAAGCACTGTTGATCAATTTCCTATAGCTTGTTTTGTAAGTGATTGACTACCTTTCCTAAATACTACCCCCTACATTATGGTTAAAATATTATTTCCACTGAAAGAATTATAGTGACTTTTATTTTGTGCATTTGTATAGAGTCTCCTCTTTCTTCCTCCACCCCTCCAACTACAACAGTTGAAACTTGGCCAGAATATCTATTAACCACATGTTGGGTAAAAGATATTTGTTAAAAATAGTTTTGCTTCTTTGTGAAATGGGAGAAATTGGAACAGATTAAGATTAAATGGCAGTGGAAGAGTCAGGTTAGTCTGGCGAACAGAAAGCAGGAGTAGGGTTGATTTCCTGGCACTGCTTTCTTAGCAAAGAGAACAATTTTAATCAGTTACAAAAATATTTGTGATCCATATGTTCCTCTCTGCTCATCCCCATATGCCCATATTCTCTTTTATCTTGGTGGATGATGACTTTATGATTCAGGCATGCAAGAATAATACCTTGCTGACTTTAGAGCTCTGTGCTATTTCAAAACGTGTCCTGGTAATTACACATATACATATATCCAGGCTGTTCGCTCTCTGAGTTGGTTGCGTGAATATCCGTTTGTTCTTTCTCTTTCTTCATGGAAAGAATTATATCTTGCATCCACCTACTGGGGCCGGGATAATGCATCTAAGGCTTAGATTTGAAAACTGCACTGCCATTCACCTGCTGAATTAAATGCCACCGCACAAATATGAGGATCAGGAAAAGGAGATTGCGGTGGTCACTGATAACTTCATTTTCCTTGGGGAAAAGAAAACAGAATCCAAAAAGCATTTGGTAATTCCATCCATCCCTGGTGCCAATTCTAAGACATTTTAGATAATGGGCTGGTTACTTAAATAGATCTAATTTTACGACGTTGACTTCTATTTAATATTGAGTGTTAGTCATTGTAGCCATGGTGAAACTGATCAAAATTGAAAAATTAAAATGACTGTTGATTAGCCTTCCATTTTTGTCCTAAATGCATGTTTGCTTATCTCTCAATAGCTGTATAATTTCTAACAACAAAAGAAACATATTTTAAAGCCAAATTATCCATTTTAAGAAAACGTGAATAAAGCTAGAAATTATTGACTGTATAAGTGATTGCATTTTTAACAGTTGTTTTCCTCTTGCACAACAAATGGCATTGTAACCCAATATGTTGTTAATATAGCCGCAGTGAAATCTGGTGAGGAACCAGCTGTGCTCATTTAAACTTGGGAGGGAGGCAGTGAGAGGAGAGGCAGAGGGGGTTTCTAAACTTCAGACTAAATAACTGAGATGCATTTAGTGTTTTCAAAGATGGGTATATGATAGAAGAGGTGTGCGTGCTGTTGGATTTAGCAGGTGTGCACCAGAGTAGAGTGGCGGTGAAAGGAAAGAGATACAGCTTGGTTTTGGCAAATGTTATTAAGAATCCATCTCTCTGTTTGCATTCAAGCTGTCTTTGCCGCTGCTCCTGTAGGAGTTGTGAGAAAAAGAAAGAGCACATTATAGCGTGGATTGTTTTCAACAGGCTCAAAGTTTGCAAATCTGTTGAATCCTTCTGACAGTGTCTCTTTGCTGTCAAACACAATGCCCAGCTGGTGGTGGCAATCCCGATGGAGAAGGAGGGGTGTAGATAGACTGCGCTCACCTTGCAACAAGAATATTAGGAATTCTTTTTCCCAAACTGTAATTTAAGAGGAAAGAGCTCTCTCAGCCAAGCCATGGTGAAAGTTTTCTTTTTTCTTTTCTCCTTTTTTGCTTTTATAGATAACGCCTCATTAAATCAAAATCTTTAAATACACTTCATTAGGATAACTTTCATAAAGAAAGGAATCACAGCAACAGCATTAAAGTATATTATCTTAATCTATAATTAAGACAAAGACTTTGGTTAAAAAAGGAGGTAAGATTTTTGCTCATAGGTGATCTCGATTCTCATTGAGGCAAACACACAAGCTTTTTTTTTTTTAACATGAAGTGCGAGATTTCACTAAAAAAGGTTAAAATTGAAGTGAGTAATCTTCGGTGCATAATGCAATTGTTAATTTTAGCTCCTTGCGTGGGTGCTGCTCTGACTTGAACAGCCGGCTGTAGCCTTCATTAGAGAAGAAGCAGGCAGCTTGAGACAGGTGGAGCTGGATCAAGCTGTGAACGTGATTTGCTGGAAGCTGGTCATTAGTGTTAGAAACCCAGTCTTTTTTATTTCGTCCTTCACCCTACCATGATTATTGCAATTATTGTTATTGACTTTTCATCTTTTTTCAGGTTGACGATGTGTCAAACTGTGTAAGGGAATCGCATGGAGATGGGCGTTCCGAACTGTTGATGGGGACATGGGACTCCAGTCTTCTCTGATCACTTGTGTGGATTTTCCCGGTGCAGAACGACAGAAGCCGCTAGTAAGTCACCAAGACCTACAGCAGGGATTCTGCGCGAAAGGTAAAAGGCTTATTGTCTGGCTCTCATCTCATCTGCATTTTTTTATTATTACATAAATGTGCTTGTTTGCATAGAACAGTTCATTAAGTGTAACCAAAACAGACAGGATCTGTATCAGAGACTCAATTGGCTTATAGTTTGTAAAATTAGAGCTCAATTTGCTCATTCCATTTTAAGTGTGGTCACGATCTATTTTTTTATTGAAATGCTCTGAAAAGAGAAGGCAACAGAAGTCCCATATCCTCCCCCTACCCAATACATTGAGAAACAATCTGTTTGCCATTGGGAAACAGAACTTTCTATTTTGTTAACTACACACATACTCCGTGTCACTGAACTATGAGAAATCTGTCACAACACACTGGATGGAATGTCCTAAAACCTCCCCACACCTAAAAGCGTGGCTCACTAGTCACTCACAGACTCAAACCACCATCCTAAAGGAAAACTTTTCCTTTTCATTCCCACAATCCTTTGCCAAATGAACCCGTGTATTTTTGAAGATATCATTAGATACCATCTGTTCTGTCATGGTAGATCTTAGCAAATTTTCAACAGAAATTGCTGTGCTTTAGATTTTTGTCATGCTTCCTATATCCAGTTGGAAATAAAGATACTGAATGGGTAAATGGTAATTAAACACTCCCAGAGAAACATATCAAGACACTGATTTGTCCAATAATAATTACCATTGTAATGGCTGGGAACAGGACAGCCACTGCTCCGAAATTTTTGTGAAAGAACTGACTTTCTAGGCAACAACATCCTCTCTCTCTCTCTTTTCCCTTCCTTCTTCCCATCTTTCTTTCTTTCTCCTCCTTCCTTCCTTTCGTTCTTCTTTTTTCCTTCCTTCCTTGCTTCCTTCCTTCCTTCCTCTCCTTTTTTTCCCCCCACATTTAAAAAAAAACTGAGGAGGAAGTAAATGCTAAATTATTCATGAGCCTCATTTGACAGCACATCACAAGGAGAAGTGTCAGGGGTTTTATGGAGGTAGAGAGAAAAAAAATAATAACAGGCTTTAACTTTGAAAAGCCATTTCCAGTGTGTGTGTGGCAGACTACTGTGAGTCTGGAAGAGCAGAGTTCAGTTGCAATAGCTTCGTTAGAGCTGCCTGCCCGAGACTTCCTTCCACAGGATCTGTGCAGCACCAGCACTGACAGGAGCTTGGGAGAGGGCTTATGCTTTTAACAATGTAGCTGTCACTTTGAAGCCTGAAAACGTTGGCCCTGAAAGGTTTATTGCCAAATTTAGATACTATATTTATATTGAATTATTACCTCGTGAATTGATTTTGCCCCTTGTAGACTGTACTGTATTCCTTACACCTAAGAAAGTATGTCTATGATTGAAACTTGCAAATAATTTTTGAGTCATCTTAGAGGTGCTACAGAACACCAATAGTACTTCTTGACTTGGAAGTTGAGGGTCATCTGTTTAAGAGTTGGAGAAATACTCTTTTTCTTTTCCTTCTACTTTGTAGTGGGGCATAGGGATCGGTAGTTGTGTAGGAGTTGTGTGTCTTCATTTAAGATTTGTTAATCCATTTTGATGGCAAGGTGTATTCGCAAGTGTGTGTGTGTGTAGAGGACGGGTGAATAGGGCAACCGAATCTGCTTCTTGTGTTTGCCTTGGATACTTGATTTGATCTTGTTTTATTCTCCTTTGGTATACATTTGGCATGGATGCTTGAGTTGCTCATTTGAAATGAAATATCTCAAGAATAATAGTAAATAATTCACCTTGTACTGATTTTATTTTCTGACATCTTGACCTTGTAGGGCATCAAACCTCATTATTTTAATTTTGCATCTGGGAGAATGTCTGAGCAAGGAGACCTGAGTCAGGCGATAGTGGAGCAAGGCGGGCCTGAGCAGGAGACGGCCACTCCAGAGAATGGCATCGTTAAATCGGAGAGTCTGGATGAAGAGGAGAAGCTGGAACTGCAGGTGAGCCTGGAAGAACCCACTTCTCATACCACTGTGTGCAGTTCCTTTCTTTCATTTTTAAAATACTTTGAGAGTTTTTTTCCCCTTTTTTTTGAGTTTGACTAGTAAAATGAATAGGAAATCCATAAAGCTAATCCTCTCCTAACCCAATTACTAGTCACTTTTTTTTCCTGACCAAACCACGCTCTAACATGCCCTTTGAAATGAAAACAACATCCAAAGAATATACTTAATGACTGAATTCACGCAAAGCACCTCCACACTAATGTCCAGACCACCACAAGGAGTCTGTGGAGGGCTTCTTCAGGCCACTTTGGGCTGGTTGAGTTTTAAAAGTGGATTTATTGTTCCATGGAAAGATGAAGACTCAGCTCATGATAGTCTAAGAAAAATTAAAGATGTGAGCTCTGTTGACCTTCATGGGCAGGCTAAGGTTCAATTTTTGCTAGCAAATAGATAAGCCCTAGAATTCCCAGCCAGAGAGAGAGAGAGAGAGAAACCATGAGAAGGGGTGGGAAGGTGGGGACTGGGAGTGAGTGACAGTACTGAAAAAGTGATATGATTGAAAAAATGATATGATTAAAAACACTATGATTTATGAGAGATTTGGTAGTGGGGGGAAAAAACTGTACTTTCAAATAGCCTGTATCAATGTTCTTTGACCCAAACTACACAAGTGTTAACTTTTTTAATATACAAGTGAGCAAAGCCAGATAACTACATAATGGCCAAAAGCCTTCAGGGTTGAATTTTCCCCTCTCCAATAGCTGCTGTAAGGAGAGAGAGCCAAAAGTTAAATAGTCAAAAGTTTGGAGGAGTGAGAGAAGGGGAGTCCTCCCAAATGATTATAATATCTTGTTGCCATTACTATTGATTTCTCCACTGTAGTGATGCCTTCTCTCCCTCTCTCTCTGTTTCCTGGTTGTTGGTTTACTGTTTGTTTGTTTGTTTTATTTTGTTTCTAACACACAGAGGCAGCTGGCAGCTCAGAACCAAGAGAGAAGAAAATCCAAGGTAGGGTCCTGGAGATTCTACACTGATCTGCTATCATGGATATCAACTGCATGTTTCACATCAGGGTTAACAGATTTGCCAACAATTCAGATGGTGGTGTGTGGATCTTGGCTGTACTGGTGCTGTCTGCTTTTAATGGGGTCGTGTAGATGCCTATCTTTCTTTCTCGCTCTGTGTGCTTTTTAATTAGAGTTTTTGGGGTTCATCTAGCTGCAAACATATATATTTGATCCTGTTTTCACATTTGCAGTTTGACAGTGCTTTATAAAATAAATAGCCACTTGTTTTGTTTTTATTTTAAATTAAATTTGGGGTGAATGTTTTAACCTCTCCAGTTGATTTCTCCCTTGAAGTAAATAGGTTCTGGTGTTTAGAACACATTCTTCATCTTTAAAGTATCTTCTGTCAAACCCCCTCAAAACTCAGTTTTAGTAGAAATTAATTTTTGTCATCTTTTTCTCCTTATGTTTTTATGAAATGGCAGCAAGTCATTCTTCATGTGTTTCCGATGTGATGGGCACAATTTGCTAAAAGTGTTCCTTAAATTCATCCATTCACATTTTCTTCCACCTCCATCCCCCATCAACAGAGGGATCTGATGCTTTGAGCCGAGGTAGACAGCACTGAGTGGCCGACTTGAAGCTTGGTTTTAAAAATCTGATTTGGAAATGTCCTGTGAAAGTGGAGCTGGTTTGACAGCCTGAGAATGTTTTCTGTTTGTTTTCTTTATTTTCCTTTGCTTCTCTTTTCTTTCCCCTTCCCAGTCAGGAGCAGGAAAAGGTAAATTGACCCGCAGTCTTGCTGTCTGTGAAGAATCCTCAGCCAGACCAGGAGGGGAAAGTCTCCAGGATCAGGTATACCCCCTGTCATTCTCGTTAATAGCATGAATGGGATCTGCGTATGCGTGCATGAGTATTAATTTGGCATTAAACAGTGTTTTGGGGGAGAAAAAAATAATTGAAGAAAGAAATAGTTTTCTGGCTTCATCCCCTGTTTATGAGACATTCTAAACTAGTTTAACAGTTTGTCACAGAGTATTACGTTTGTTTTTTTCCAGACCCTCTGAAAACTGCAAATGGAAAGGAATTCAAAAGAATTTAGATTAAAACTTAAAAAGTAAGCCTGGTAGTGCTGAATTTCCTCAAAGGCTCTCTCTTGATAAGACTGAACCAAATATAGTCCTAAGTATCCCGTCTCCTTCCTTATTGGAGATTGTTACCTCTCACTTCCCCAAAATGCACTTGCCTATAAGAAACACACCTCTTGGCTCTTATGAATCTGTAGAAATAGTGTATAAGGTGCATTGAGCTTTGGAGACATACTTTTATGGCCTTTGGTGGAGATTTCTCAATACTGGAAAAATTGTTCGGAAATGAATCTGATCTGATGGTGAATTTAAGTTAATATTATTAATATATTGCTGCATATCCTTACACTTATTTTTGCTCCTTACAGCAAGACTATTAGGCTCTGAAAATTCAAATTCTAACAAAACCCTTCCCTGACAAAATGGGAAACTTCACATTATATTTATTTATGTTTGCCTTTTAGGCATCTTATTAGCTTTTATAAAAATAGTCTTGCTGCTGAAATTTCCCTTATTTTATCAGAGGCTGAGAGCAGTCAAGACAAAAGTAAAATGATTTATCTGAACCCAGGGGAGGGAAAATTGATTAAGATATCATTATTTTTGTTTGGTCTTGTTTTGCTTTTCTCCTTTTAGTTTAATTGAAATACTCTAAATTCTCCTCATGGATACAGAGAGCATTGAGAGCACTTTCTTTAAAAGGACCAAAAATAAATTCCTTATAGATTTTGTCCTCAAAGTATTTTTTTTCCTCACCTCATTTTCTTAACATGCCACTCATGTTGTAAGGCATGCTTTACGACATGGACAGGCTATCTTTCAGTAGTCATCACTATGTTTCATACACAAGCTTTATTTTACTTGGGCTCTGAGAAATGTGTGGCTTTTCTTCGGCATTTTATTTGTGCTTCTATTTTTAATGGAGATTGAAAAGGGGGAATAATGTGAATACCATGGCCTGTATTATTAAATGTTGATTGATGGCTTGTAATGTACTGCCTATGATATATGTCAACTCTGCACAATGACAGACTCTGGGAGAAGTCATGCCCCACTGTCCCCCACGCCTAATGCCAGGCAGAGGAGCACAGCCTTTATAGACTTAATCTGCTTTTTATCCCATTTGACATGATACCAGGAGGAAATTTTTAAGAGATCATCTGTATCATAGTGCCCATCCTGGACCTAAGTCTAGTTTCTCCACACAATTGGTGTAGAGAAATAAGATGCAAACGGTGCTTTGTTCCTGCTGGTTCCAAGCTCAGTAACCAAGGCTAGCTTTGTAGGAGATACATAGAGTTTGCAAGCTTTTCTTTAGACTGGTTGAGGGGTGGTGGGAGCAGGGGCTGATAGAAAATACCCAGAGATACATATAAGCAAGTGGCCATGTTACTTTTTTTAGAGAATAAAAAAGCAGACCTTTGAGCTTATATGCAATGCCTTCCTTAGGTACCACTGGCACTTACAAAATATGGGAGCTGTATCCCAGAGAACACTGACAGAAATATACAATATATGGACTGTATTGCTTCCCCAATGTTTGTATATTCACAGTATTTGGAAAACTGCCTTCATTTTCCTGTGTGGGAAAAACTCTTGCTACCTGTATTACATGATCTCAGACCCATAGCTGATGGTTTAGTCTGTCCTTAAGTTAAAGGAGTTTTGCTTTTCTCATGTTATACTATTTACCTATCAGTGTATTACTGCAACTTGAATCATTCTTTCACTGTTGTTGGATATAAACTTATCCTGTAACAATGTATTTATTAACACTTGTATTTTATTATTGAGCATATCAATAAAAATATTAAAAAATAACAGATTGTTTTTTACCAACTCTATAGCATTTTTGTGTGTTCTTTCAACACCATAATGTATATTTATGTATAGAAAAGATAGGTATTTTTCTGAGTATAGTATTTGTCAACACATGCCACGAGTTTGTACATTTTTTTTGTAAATGATGTCCTTTAGCCTCTGCTCTCGCATTTATATTTCCAAGCCTCTTTGATTTTAGATTCAGACTTACAGAGGCTGGATGGTTCAACTGCTTTTGAAGAAGCAATGAGACCACTCTCTTGGCTTGGTACCCTCAGTTTCCCCTCCTGATCAACTGTCAAATTGATTCTTCCCCATGCCCTGCCGTGTCTTCTGAGCCAGAAATCTTCCAGCTGTTTCTTTAGCAAGTAGAAGCAAATCATAACCCTAAAATCTACCGAACCTTTGCAGACTAAGACATTTCTGTCTCAAATCATGTGATAAAAGACTCTATATTCAAATTACACTCAGCTTTACATATTTTGTGTATGTCCATCCCCAGGATAAACATGTGGATGTCAGGAAACCCAACTAAGATCTTTATCATGACAACATGCTTTATTTCATCCACTATATCACGTGTCTTTCCAACCATGGTGATTTTTTATTCCAGCTGGAATTTACAATGAAGCCCCTCCCAAAAAAGAAACTTGGCTTTGGAGGACTTTCGTTTTATGCTTATTAGATTAGCCAGGTTTACCAAGAATCATTAAAATTCCCAGTTGGCCGTAATTTGAGGATGTACAGGCATCAATTTAGTCACATGTAAAGGAGCATTAGTTTAGTTTCAGAGAGAAACACTATTAGTCATTGGAAATATTTTTCCCCTACATCATAAATTTTAATGTCACTAGTAGAAGAAAGCTTTCCCATCAGCTGATCTCTTACATAAGAACAAGTGGGCTTAATGTCGAATAGTTTGTCATAGTTTTAATCATAGCATAGGTTTTTCATAAAACTAAAAAACATAATTGGTTCATTCTTCTTCAAAACAGTGAACATGCTATTAGCCAAATGGCTAATATGTGGTTTAATACAAAATGATCTGTTTTCAGTGTAAAATAAGTAAATATAAAAGTGGATCCCACCCCAAGACTGTAAATGGTCAATCTTATGCCCAGCATCAGTTCAAGAGAATCTTACATTTTGGAAAGGATTAACCAATCCTAAAATTAAAATAATATTAAATAATTATATGCAATTTATGGAAAATATTGTTCTACTTTCTACCTTTTTGAAAAGGCAATGCTTATTGTAACCATATATTATGATGATTTATTAATGGCATTTGTAAACAACGGGTGATAATAATCTATACCTAGGATTATATGTCTTGGTTTCTCATACTAGTAGGAAGCATTGTTGATGTTGGTTCTAAAACAGACTTTTTATTGTAAATTGGCTATTAGGGTCTTTATTTATGTCTGTTCTATCTGTAATTATCATTCATAATATCTGTCTGTCTGTGTTCGTGGCAATTTCTCATTATAAGGAATTATAGAAAAGAAGTGAAGAAGCCTTTTCTTTTTTTTTTTTTGAGACAGTGGCTGTGATGCAAGCTTATTGATAAAGAAAATTTTTCCTAAGTGTTTAAAAATAAACCTGTAGAGAAAATAAGAGTTGTGATCTACGGAAAAGTAACATGCTTAAGGTTAATATTCATGAGGCAAGTTTTAGTATCAGATGTTTCTCATGACCTCCCACTGACTTCTGAAGTTTAAGTCACCTTAAAGGGCAATTATTTTTCTGACAGCTTTAATTTTTCACCATTTAAGAAAAAAAATCTGCACCTGGCTTTCATTTTCCTGTACTTAGTAACATCGATGCAAAATGGAAACCAGACAGAGATTCTTAAATCTGGCCCTAAATTATTATATTTTTTCCCCAACAGGAATCAATTCATTTACAGCTTTCCAGTTTCCCCAGCCTGCAAGAGGATGATAAATCTAGGAAAGATGACTCTGAAAGAGAAAAAGAAAAGGATAAAAACAAAGATAAAACCTCTGAAAAACCCAAGATCAGAATGTTATCAAAAGGTGAATGTGAAAATGTTTCCTTAACTTACTCAGTTTGGACACATAAATAGTCATAGAATACATTCTAGATTTTACACGTGTATTCACCTCCCACCAAGCTCTGCATATAATTTTATATGTGTATGTATGTGTGTGTAAAAGATGTGAACTTGATTTTCTTTCCATTCACGGTGTCACTATTTGTGTATCCAGAAAGGTTACTTTTAGGATCACATATTTCTTTGGATTTTCATGTGGATCTCCTATTTTCAATGATAAGTTTGTACAAAGGACTGAATATAAATCTTCTCTTCATTCAGGTTTATTAGTCCAATTAATTTGGATTGATGAACAGTAATGATACCCGGTTTTATATCATAACTTTCATGTGTATCTTAAAAGACTGATAGTGGATTAGCAAATCTCAGTCTATCAGTGACGTTGTCCCCAAAGCACAGATGTATACATCAATGTCAAAAGAACACATGATTAACATTTTATCTGGCACAGATGAATTTGGTCTCTGCAACCCATATACTGCCATATAATGTCTCATTTAAAATATACACATTTCATAAAATTTTTTCCAAAAAAAGTTATTCCTTCTAAAACCTCAAACATACAATCCATACTTTTCAAGTTGTTGCCATACATATAATTGTACAAAACTAAAACAAACAAAAAAAGTAAAAGCAAAACTAAGTTGGAATGAGGAATGCCATGAATAAATAGCTTTGCAGCAGACTTTTTTTAATAACTGAGAAAGAATAAGGCATCTGATCACCTAAGGAATGACAACTACTTCTAACATTATGCTCTATAACCATGTCTCTGCTGCTGAATATCTAAAACCCAAGGTGTATACAAGAGTAAAAAAGTACAGGTTCCTAAAATGGTTTTAGAAATTAAGCTTTAGCCAGCATCAGAGGACTTGAGAGACTTGGAAATATTTAGTGCTCTCCTGTGTTTTGTACTGATTAATATTTAGATAGCCTTGTAAGAGAACTTTCATTTTTTGCCTTCTCTGTTTTAAGAGAAAGAGGGTTCCATAGGATCTCAAACTCTTGAGAGGTCTCTCTGTGGGTTGGGAATACCTGTCACGTGGAGGTCGTGTCCTTGCTGATTTACAGAACAGAATGAACACGTGATATTTGACTCCGCCCCCCCCAACTGTGCCCACTTCCCCTCCTATAACAGTTGGGTCTTTCCACACTCAGGATCGACTGGTTGTATTCAATCCCCAAATCTAATTTTCATTCTGATGTTATATTGCAAGGTTGCTAGTTTTGAAACATGTATCTTTCATATCAATAGCTTCACCTAAAATTTACCTGAGCAGGAGGGAAAGGGGAAATGTTGGGAAAACCTTTTCCACCTCACCTCCCACCATCATTCCTGACAACTCCATCCTGCTATTTATTTCAGATTGCAGCCAAGAATATACGGATTCTACAGGCATAGACTTACACGAGTTTCTGATTAACACGTTAAAGAATAATTCCAGGTAAATTATTAAATACGCCTCTTATTTTTAGAAGGGTCAAGTGGAATATTACGATCAAAGTCATTAATCCAAACACTTGTAAGAAGCGAGTTTTAAAATGCAGACACATTCTCTGATGTCTTAAACTGTCTCTTGTATTTTCTCTTTTCTGTTAATAGTTTGCATGTTTACTGTTTATAGATAGTGTTAATTCCTGGGTAGTTACCCAATGAATAAATTATAGTTTAAGAGTTCTGCTTTCCTGGTTACAAAGAGATATTGATTAAGGGGAAAAAATAGAGAATGAGAATCAATGTCAAATAAATCAATTATGCTTCAATGTAGTTACATAACCATCTTCTTGGGCTTTTTTTGTTCCAATTTCCTATTAATTTGAAATATACAATTTATTGGGCTTAATACCTTGCATGTCCTAATTAACGTTAAAACTACAAAATTTTCAGTATTACAAAATACTTAACAAATGAGATGAGAAATAATCTTAAGTAGAATGAAATCATATGTAGATGGATAGCATATTCCAGAGAAGAGTTAGATACAGATGTATAGCCACATACATTTAAACAATCTTTTCCATACATCCAAATGAACTTTTTACATCTTTGGGAATTAAAAGTACATCAAACCTTTTCATTTTAATATTTATTTTGCAGGGACAGGATGATACTCTTGAAAATGGAGCAGGAAATTATTGATTTCATTGATGACGACAAGTATGTTAAATTGCAATGCTAGTTAATTTATATGATGTGTCTTAGTTTGCTACTTGGGTTTAATTATTCATTCTGGAAGGATTTAGGGATAGATAAAACATTGTTTAATATGTTTGCTGATTTGTTAAATGGAGATGCTATTGGCATTAGGAGCTATATGCTGATGGGAATATTTGCTTGGACCATGCGTGCTCCTGCTTGTTAAATTCCCGACAAAATGGCTATAAACAGGGGGCCACTGATTAGTGTAGAGTAATCGTAACAAGAAGCAACCCTTTTCATTTTTATTATAGTTTTTTAATGGGCTTCAGCTGGCTGCAGTCAGTTATGCCTGGAAATAATTATGCTGCTTTCAGTGTAAACCGTGTAATGACACATCTCGAGATAGGCATCTGCAGTGACATATTATGTCATATCATTTGTCCTGTGCCTGGCTCCGTTGATAAGGTATCACGGAATAAAACAGAATACTTTCCAACAGACATTAAGTTCTGTCTGATGAGAGAAATGTATAACTATGAAACAAAGATACTTATTGAAGCTTAATCAATAAATCTCTCATAAGTGGAAAATTTGTCTGGAAATGAGGACATTAAGTGATGGCAGAGATGAAATAAGCTTAGTGGTTTGGATGAAAAAGAAATGATTTTCTGTGTGTACCTATAAAATGTACTACAAGCCAGAAACGAAAATGCTGATTCCACTTTTTCTTATATTCTCTTCCAGTAATCATTATAAAAAGTTCCCTCAGATGTCATCCTATCAGAGGATGCTTGTCCATCGAGTGGCAGCTTACTTTGGGTTAGATCACAATGTGGATCAAACAGGGAAATCTGTTATCATTAACAAGACCAGCAGCACGAGAATGTAAGCCCCATCATTGTCTTTATTTAGCATTTTCTTTTTCTCTTACGGATTCATTTATAAGAGCACAGTATAAAATTCAAAGTACATGACATTTAAAATGTACAGTGTTATTTATCTCTTGCTCTTATCAGCATTAGTGTGGCATTTATCTGTAGAAGATTATCTGAGGACCAAGAAAGTTTATAAAATTCAGGAACTAAAGTGGATTTATTCCCTGATCATTTACATAGCTCCTAAAACATCCTTTTCTTTCTTTCATCAGTACTGCATGTGATTACATACAAAACCATGGAAGATTTTATGTCAAAATATAACTCAAATTAAAAATAACAGACATTTTAAAACAACAATGACATATGCGGGATAATTGTTCTTTTCTTTCTTTTTCTGATTTATAGACATCTATCTTGTGGTTTCTAGAGTAACAAAAAACTCTGAACATGGAGACAGAAATCCTACCTCTAAGACCCAATTTTTTTACTTACTAGCTGTGTGACTTGAAACAAGTCATTTAAAATCTGCCATCTCAGTTTTTTCTCCTGTAAAATGAGAGTTTTGAGCTAGATGATATCTAAGTCCTAGCTCTAAAAGGAGGGTGGTTGGTTGTTTTTGCTCCTTAAAATGATTGTTTGTTTCTATCTAAATATCTTTTCACGGTCCCCTTGAGTCAAAAGCATAAGATGAGGAGTCATTTGCTTTGGAAATTTGAAACTGTCTCTCTTGAAGCCATGTATCTTTTGAGTACAGAGCAAGCCATTTTTATAGCAAAATACATGTTAAACTGAAAAATTGTCCCTATGTAAAGCATTCTCTTAAAACATTTGTATATTGTAATTTTCTTTTTCACAATGTGCTTGGTAAATTGTGTAAATTGCATGATTTTTAGGAATGCTGTGTTAGCAAAGGGAACTTATGTGTCAAGCAGAGCAGCACGGTTCAAACACTCTTTATTTTCTGCTTACCAGAGGTTGGGACACATAGGGATGGAGATGTGGCTCCTTCTCTCCTCAAGGCTCAGTCTGTGTTCAGCAGAACTAGAGTGAAAGTCGTAGTACAGAGAACACAAACTGGGCAATCTGGGACTGAGCGTGGCTATTTTCTGAGGGACACTGAGCACTTCCCCGGGCTCCAAATTACTTATTTACTTGCAGGAGAGTTTGAAGTGGATAAAGTTTAAGGACCCTTGAAGCTTCAAATTATTGGGTCCTGCAGTTGCGTTCTCCTGTGCTGGCAAAATACCTTTTAAGATTTATCAGCTTCTACTTTATCTGATTATTGGCACATGCGCCTCCTATTTTGAACAGTAGTAGAAATGAAAGGTCACTGTCCTTTAATCTTCTTCCCTCTCCATCAAATACTCCTAGTTGTTGCTGTTTTTCATTCTCCATTCTGGTTTTTCCTCTGACTTTCAGATACCACAATGCAGGGACATGCTGATTGCAAAATAGGCAAACGATTGATCATCTCCTTTTAATTTGTTTTTCTCCTCTTTCTCCATAAGGCCCACAGAAAAGCCCATAGATCAAGTAGATTGTTTAATACAGTTTCAACCAGTAGAGATCGTGCATTTATTTTTAATTCACACTGATTTTGCAATCGCATAGTCATGAATATTAGCACACATGTTTGAAACCTATTTCCTTGTTGGATCGTTTTTGAGAAAATTAAGCATTGTATAAAGACTCTTGGTAAACTTTGAGTTTAGATGGCTCTAAACCTGCTCTGTCCTATATGGTATCCACTAGCTACATATGACTCTTTACATTTTAATTTAAATTAATTAAATTTAAACAAAATTTAAGCTTTAAATTTCAGTTCCTCAGACAGTCTAGCCAAATTTCAAGTATTCATATTAGACAGAGCATACATAGAACATTTCCATTATTTCAGAAAGTTCTATTGGTCAGCTCTTCTCTAAACCCTCGTGATCCTTGCAAGTTTCCAAATACCACTAGAGGGTATAATTTGTCCCTGAAAACTTTTAATTTCTGGCTAATAGGTATCATATTATTATGTTATTAGACTTCTACACTTCCAGGAGATCACTAGCTGTTTTTTTTAATGACTAATTTCAAATAGACCCCACTTGTTTATGTCTTCAGGAAGAGTGAAAAGAGCTTGTGTAGAGGACACCATCAGGTGAGGGTACTACCAATGAATGCCTGGGCTGGCTCAGTATCTGCCTGGTTCCTGCTCTTGCACACCACCCTTTAGCCCCCAGCTGTGAGTCAAATCATGCCTAAACAAAAGGACAAATGACTGTATGTCACGGTCTTTGAAGATATTTCCTGAAGAGTTGAGCTTAACAATATTCGATCCACAGCTGTCAAGTCCTACTGTTCTATTCCAGTCACCTTTCTGAGCAGTCTTTATTTGAGGGGTTCTTGGGGTAGGGCTGGGAGGAGGGGAGCTTGATATCTTTTACGACAAGGGAAGAGAATGAATTAAATGTCCTTTTTCAATAGTAACAAGTCACATTTTCAAAACCTAAATCAATGTTGGCAGTTTTAGCAAAGGAGAAATGTTGTTCTGTGTAAAGTTATATGTTTGATTTTAAAAGTCAGTTGCCATGTTCTTGTGGAGTTGAAATTCAAAATGGAAATTCTATTCAGAACATTCTGTCCAAGTTCTAGGTGTCTGTCTTGGTTTTCTTTGGTTCTCTGAAAATTTCAAGAGTTGTGCTATCAGGGCAATTGGCGTGTGATGGTCTCGGGACCACGTTAATTTAGATATGCTATTGGATGGAAACGTTTCCTTTTATATAAAGGAGAGAGGCTGAGATGGAAATTCCTCAGATGGCTCCTTGTGGGTTTTGTGTTTTGGGAATACTTTTTCAGTGCATACAGTTTTATGCTACTCCAATGCAAATACATGCAAATGCATATTTTAAATGACATTGTAGCTTGGGATAAATGCAGAAAAATGTGGATGGAGGATACAAAAATGAACTAAAGGGCTGGGGAAGAGAAAGCATTTTTTAATATAATTTTGATTTTTCTTTTTAATGACACTGCATTGGCATATAAGATGATCTTCTAGCACGAATGCATATCAGCTGCATATTGCGATTTATTTCCCAGAATCCCTGTCTTTCTAGATTATAGGCAGTTCAAGTAATCATAGAATGTGACTTGAGAATATTAAGTTTGGCATGGAGAGAAAATAGTTTCACATGAAGTTCAAAATAGTCAGGTTATGCCACACTGTGAGGATTATATATACATGTATATGTACTATACTCAGCTCTAATATTTTCTCTAATATGCTCAAGATATAATATATCTGTCCTTTCATGATGGAAATATTTTGTCTGAGGACAGACTTTTCAGTAAGTTAAGGGATTTCTTACTTATAATGTTTCTTTCTTATAATAGCATCACCTACTGAGTATTGGCATTACTACTGAGTAATAGCATTGCACTGAGTACTTTATCTCTTATTTCATATATATTATTTCATTTAATCTTAAAAACGTATTTGCAACCAAAGTAATTGGAGCCTCATTTTACAGAATAAGAAAATAAGGCACAAACTCAGGGTCAATTTTGGGCTTACAGAGAAGCAGCGATTAGCACGGCTGGGATCTAAACCAGTGTGTCAAATGCCAAGAACGATTTTCTTAAATAGTCTAACTCTGTTAAAGCAAAACCATCCAGAACATCTCAAGCAAAATTCTCAAAAAAGACTCCCTGGATTTGTTGGGAATTCCAACTGTTTTAAGTCTTTTTTTAAAGTGATAAGAAACAATGATTGAGGGAGAAGATAGTTTTGAAGATTAACTCAGTGGTATCAGTAAATAACAGATACTTCCTATAATTTGGTAGTTATTGCTAGATTTTCTGTATTTATCACTGCTACAAGATGTGATATTTGGGAGGGGGTGATATCTATTCAATTTAAACCTTGCTCTACTCCATTTCAATCTTTCTTTTTCTAAGAATGAAAAAGCTACATTTATCAATAATGTCAGTGTAGGAGATGAACCTATCTATTGCATCATTACAAAATTACTGCTACAAGCAACCCAATTATCCAAATCCGTGGTTTCATGCCGTAGCCACAAGAGCATGGGGTAGGGGTTAAGGATATAGTAGTCCAGAGAGAGTAGGAAATAATAATAATCATGTTCACATGGGAGACATTCTAGGAAGGTGCCTTCATCTGAGCAGACTGATGCACTTTATAGAATCAGCAAAGAAATTCACCTTACCCTCTCAGCATTGCAACCTTGTTGGTCCTCAGAGCTAGCCAGGGTAGGAACAGGTGAATGTATGTAACCTGCAGCCTTTCAGCACACCTACTGGTCTACAAATTGGGTCTTAATGACGGGGGATGCCTCTCATTGGAATTTATTGCCTTTGTGTTGAAATAATGAATGAAGTTTTTGAGCTCAGACTGGCCACGTTGTGTTTTTTCACTTTTAGTTTAGCTCTCTTTCCCCCTTATTTTGCCAGAAATACATTTCATTCTCTAGCACTTTTTAATTTTTGCTGTTGGAATTCTTTGTTAACTGTCAGATTAGGTGGTGACACCAAATGAGCCTTTTGGTAATACGGGGCAGATATATTAGGGTCTGTGCTATTTTGGTCCTGAAAATGACATTTATAATGGATTTACTTTCTATAATGTTGCTTTTCTGATATGTGGGATTAAGGCTAAAACTATAAACAGTGATTTTATAAAAAATATTTAAAATGCTAAAAATAATGAGTCTATTTTTATATGAAAAGCTTTGCCCTTCTCTTTGTCTTTCTTCCTGATCTCCACTTTCTCTCTTTTGCTCATTTTTCTATGTGTTTAACCCAAAGAACTTCATTGTTCTTTCATTAGATAAATTTTTCACCTCTTTCTCCTTTTCTGTATCCTAGAGAAAGGATATATGCTCAGGATGTTTCATTTGGAGATTAGAAACCATCTACTTGCACTAGTGCTTTCCAAAGGGGCAAGGTCAGTCACAGGCAAAGCAAGTCCCACGTGTATTTGAATTTCTTTGCATATGT